CTCCACGAATTTTCTCCACATCTTCGCATAGAATCGAATAGACGGTGCGTTAAAATTTGCAGAACTTTTCAGATGACATCGGAAGACACGTCGAATGGGGAACTTTTAGTTCTTCAAGACGCGGTATGCTATATTGTCTTTAGAGAGTGGTATGCGCCCGTTTTTTCAGGCATTGTACATACATCAGGCGAGAATATGAACGCTCCATCCTTCGATGTGAGGGGTTTCACATGAAAACTTGGTATGGCCCTGAAAAGGCAAATCATCGATGCACGGGGAATTATCGCACCAGAGTGAAATTCAATGCAAAGGAGGAGATGAAAACGACCCCCTGACATTGACTGAATGATTTGTCTGTCTCGAGATACAATAACGATCAGAAGTCCTCGGTGGAACACTTTTCCAATTCCAACTTTTTTCCTACTTCATAGAATCGCGAAAAATATTAGTATGTTAATCAAAGCGATATTGTGAATAGTTACCGCTAACAAACTGCGGTCAGCTATTTTTCACGGTACGTTATTGAGATTTGTGTCAAATTCAGTGAAAAATATGGGTAGCATTGACCTGAGAAAGCCTTCCTCTGATAATAGCAACATATAGAACACCCAATACATTGATATTCGGTGTTGAAGCCTCGGCTTCTAATGATAGCATCGCAACTGAAAGGCATCGAGTCGATTAGTTTTTGAATGGTAGGCACTAGCTTGGCGTTCTAGTCCTTCACTTATTGAGCGACTTTTCTTCTCCTTTTCTACAAAGGTTGCTCGAAAGACGCCTCCTAAGCTCTTCCCATATGTGCTCTATAGGGTTCAGATCCGATGAATGGCATGGCCACTCCAGAGGTCTATTCGCTAATGACCGCCTTCACAACCATTGAGTGTGCTCAGGACCGTTATCCTGCTGCAGGATCTAACCTGGTAGCATGTCGTGCTGTGCCCACGACAAGAAGATGTGGACCACTATGTTCTTGTAGTACTCTCCAGTCATCGTGACGTCAATTTCCAAAGTTGGTCCCATTCCGATCGGAAAGAAGGCACACTTTCTCCCCTATGCTCGGTTGTTTGCAAGGTGTACTTTGGATTAAACTTTTCCCGAGATAGACGTCGTTCGTACCGTATACCGCTTCAAAGCTAATTGAACTTGCTCCCGTCTGTGAATAGAAGTATACTACAGTCAGTCGAAGTTCAGTTGCAAACTCCGCTCTAGCTCAACTATTTTCTAGACGGCTTCTTGGCTGGACGTCTCTCATCAATACCAGCATTGCTGGGCGTCTCCCTACACCGTCGACTAAAAATGGTGCCATCGTATGTTAATCATAGAGATATTGTGAATAGTTACTGCTAGCAAACTGCAGTTAGCTATTGCTCACGTTACGTAATCGGGATTTGAGTCAAATCCAATGAAAAATATACCTGAGAAAAACCGCTTTACTTGGAAATAGCATGATATAGAGCACCAAAAACACTGATATTTGGTGGGAAAGCCTCGGTTTTTAACGACAGCATCGCAACGGAAAGGCAGCGAGTCGATTAGTTCTCGAATGATAGGCACTAGCTTGGCGTACCAGTCCTTCGCGGGTCTCTGAATGGTAGTCTTTCACTAAATTACCCAACTGCACATTTTCACGGCCTAATCAAAGCAATATGTGTCACTGTTGAAGTACATCAAGGGTTGAATCTGAGCAGTTACCTCTTTCTATCCGCAATCAACGTAATCGCAAAAAACTCATGGGTGGATCTCTAAAAACTATCATTAGGCGCTGATTACATCGTTCTGACTACGAAGAACGGAGAAGAACTAGAGGACAAGTCGAAGAAATGGCAGAAAGTGCTGAATGAAGTTGGGCTCTGATTGAATGTGAAAGAGGTCAAGTTCCTCCTTTACGAAGTGTGCTCAAAACCAACCGTTCCTTCTGAAAACGAAATCAGAAACGTTGCACTCCCTTTGATGTTTGTGATTGCATGGAAACTATGCTATGTTCCAGTTTTCCGTATGTTTCTATGTTTTTGCGTTCTTCCTTCTTTTTGGTCCGTGTGCACTGCTGAATTATTGGGTGAGATACTTTTTGTGGCTTGACGTATTATACTCTGATCTTAAGCTTGCGAATTGTTCTAGGGTAAGCAGCACATGAATGTGCGGGTGTGACTCTTGGTCCATGGAATGTGTGACCGCCTTCTTTTGCTTAATAACTAAGTCTGTAAGCTGATTCCCCGTTAACGCTCTCAGAAATGAAGCGAAAAAAACCATGAAGTTGAGTTCCGTCGCCCTCGTTGAATGAATTCGCCGAGGAAACTCTACTGTCAGCCCGTCCATTTTAGGTATAACGAAAGGGCTTTTGCTACTGTGAAAGTACCAAAAGCGTTTCAGGGTGCCTATCCTCTTCACGAAAATACCAAAAAAATAGACATAGGGTTTTCTAAAGCTGCGCTGATTATTTTGACACCAACTTCTTCCAAACTGAACACAGGCTGATCTCCAGTCTTATTGAGCCTTATACAGATTTCTAATTCCCCCAAATTTTTTCAGACGCTCGGAACCATCCTAACTTCTTCATTCAGTCATAAATACTTAGCTCACCTCATCACACCATTCGGAAAGAGCCACCGGTTGATATGTAAACCACTTCACGGGATTAAATGAAACGTTCTACGCAACTCACCAATAAGTCCGAATGGGAATCCGGCGGTTCGAGGCCGTCAATGAGCGAAAGTCAAGACGTCGCTTACGCCATGGCATTGATCAGGACACTTTATGTAACACTGTGACCGTTGGTTCAGGGCGGTTACTGAATGGATTTCTCGGGATGTCAAACGAACAATAGGATGGTCACCAGTGCGATAGTCAGACTTCTTCACGAAAGCTTCGGAGGAATTATGCTATGTCTCGTGTCTCCCGAGCGATGACGATCCCTTCGACTGCTCCGACTCACAACGTGGACGGACGAAGACCTTACTGGCGCCATCTCAAGAAATCAATGATCAACGGGATGAAAGGTGATAAAGGTGATAGGTGATATTGATAGTCTACAAATCCGTATCATGTATTCCTTCTTCTTCCTCTACTTCTCAGCGTGGATACCACAGTGTTGCACGGCCCACTAACATTGTCGACAGCCTCACCTTCTTTCTATTTGAGGAATTTTCTGCCTTCACTTCAGTTTGATCGGACCCGCCATCAGTTCTTTGTGGCTTCTCGGTTTGCTCACCCTGAACCTCAAATTCCGTTCCCTCCCTTATTGGATACATCGCGGACGCTGCTCTCACATCATCAGCCCTGACATCTTCGTTTGGGATACGGTCTTGACGCGTCCGAACGAAAGCTAATCTGAGCATCCTTATTTCAGCGGACCGGAGCTGTTTTTCACGGATTTTATCAATTTATTTACCCATTTATTTATTTATTAGGTTGGCGCATGAGTCTTTGTACTTTTTGTTCTCCATGTTGTGAAATCTTCGGGGCATGCTTTGACATCTTCACTGCAAAACATGTGTTAGTGCATGTCAATGCCCTCTTCGCAGCATATCTGCCGTGGCATTTCGCAGCGGTTATGGCTGCAAGGATCGCTCTCGACTCGAAGCAAGTCAGACTGCCTTTGCTTTGTCAGTTTGGAAAAAAACGTTAATCCAAATTGGGCGTCAGGGGAAATATGTGATGCGATAGGACCCTGCATTGCCTCTCACAGCACAACAAGAAATTGGTACCACAATTCAAAAATGGTCACTTTGACTGGACCGAAAAACCACGATCTGGCAGACTAGCTGAGCACAATGACGACTACCCTCTAAAGCTGGCTGAGCAGGATTCCAGGTGTAGTAAACGCGAGATGAAACAGGAGCTCATAGTCATCACAACACAGCAGCTGCCCATTCGCATCGCCTCGAGAAGACATGGAGATTTGGAGACATGAATAAGTTGTGAGCTGGGTGGTCACTACCTCCAAATGAAGAGGAAATCATGCCTGAAGTTGCTGACTTTCCGAGGCACCTTCGCATGGCTGGAAGACCTGAACACCGGCTACGAGAAATGTGTTCTCTACGTAAACCACACGAGGAGTCGTCAGTTGCTTGGATGCGTAGAGAGTGGAATCCCGACCTCCAAACCATAACTCCTACCTCGAAACGCAATGCTAAGCGTTTGAAGCTATTTGAAAGGATTGTTCGCTGGGACTTCCTCCCATCAAACTCCGCAGTCAGCATTGAAGCCTAGCGTACACTATGAACCGGATTGCTGCAGCTCTACGAGAGAAACAGCGGGAAGTCTACTTTCTCTACCACAGTACTCGCCCGCACATTGCGAAGGAGACACAGTACAAACTTCAAAACATGGAATGGCAAGTTCTGACCCACCCCCCTTATTCGACAGACCTGGCTCCAACGGATTATTACCCGAACCTCTCGCTATCAAGTCATTTAGAGAATAAGACTATGATTTGAAGCAACTCGAGACGTGCACCCGCGAGTTTTTCTCCTCGAAACCTCAGGAATTCTACGCAAGCGGGAACCACAAGTTGCCTGATAAATGGCAATATGTTGTTGATAATGATGGTGCATATATTTGTTAGTTGTTAGTTATTGTGAAGAGAAAAAGTAAAATTGAAAAAAAAATGTAAAATGTACAAAGACTTGTGCGCCAACCTAATATCTATAATGTTGTGCATCAGGCAGAAGAATGAAGTTATCAAATCACAATTAAATTTACAGAGAGATCCTATATGAACTAGAGCTCACTATGTGCAACAATTCCAAGTAACTAACTTATTTACTGACTCACTCCAACTTTTTGACTTTCCCTCGCTGGTGTATAGCATTGTACGCCTTGCCACCGCCCAATACCCCTTTTCTCGAGCGTTATGGAGCACCGGATGAATACTCGAAGAAAATGCCCGTTCACTCTTTTCACTTATTCTATATGGTCTGCTAACGCCGTGCACTCTTCAAAGCTAGAAACTTGGTCTATCTCACATCTAGCCAAAGCCCATTCTTCTCCCGTAGTTTTTGCTATATCTGCTGCTTGTCCTGCGGTGCTTCTTCGCTCCACTTTATCAGAGCGATGTCATAAGCATAGGGGAAGCTCATCAGTAGACCACCCATGAGTTCTTTTGCGATGACGCCCATTGTAAGCAGGAAGAGGAATGGGCTCAGAGCTGATACCTGGTGTACCCCAACCGTGACGTCTATTGCTTCGGTTAGACCTTGTGGTGTACGTATTGTGGTCTTGGAGCTATCGCACATGTCCATGATCCCACGTGTCAAGAGACGTTTTCCAAGGAAAGGTCGCATCAAGCGGTCGAATGCAAAGTCGAGAAAGCCAAGTTGACAAGATCCTTGCTTCTCTCGATATTTTTTCATCACTTCGAAGCTCCGAAGTGCTACTCGAGATCTGGACCAGTGCCCTCAATCTGGAGTCGACCAACCACTCGGACAGTTTCATCATGTGAGGGGTCGGTCATCCTTATCCCCCGGTAGTTGGAACAGTAAATCACGTACCCTTTGGTGTGGAGATGGGAGCTATAGTATTGCTCCTCCACGCATCTGGTATTCTTCCTTCAGTGGTCACAGTGATCGGCAATCACCGGTGAGTCACTTCATCGCGTGCACTCCGAGCGTCTTCCATGCCTCGATCGGCACCCCGTCCAAACCAGTTGCCTTATCAGCCTTCATCTCTCCTGCTGCTCTACACACCCCATTCTTTGTCCGGATTTCGATTAGGTCATTCGTCGCTTGCAATCGAGGCTGTCATAAAGGACGAGTTCTTTGTTTCGGAAGTCGTGGTTTTCTGCTCCATCTTTTCCTTACCTCAGCAGGCTATTCGAGATTGCATCCTCGCTACTTTCAGGGGAATCCACTATTACTATGTCCTGAAAACCACGGTCCGTGATTTCGACAGCCGTTAGAAGAACGATCTTATCGACCATCTGGTGTATCGCACAAGGCGTCCATTTCCGCATTCTTTGCCTTCGCTACAGCAGGGACGACGAGTCTGTTGGAGCTTTTGTAGGCACTTAGGGTTCTAGGCGTTGGCGTGTACTTTGTCAGGGCTAGAAGCCGACGTCTTCTGCTTGACAATTGCCGGATTTCATCGTTCCACAACCATCCCTCCTTGTCCCCTCGGAATCCACCTTGAGTCTCTACCAACATTTCCCTTGCACATCGCGGAATGACGTTCATGACGTTGCACCAGGTCTGCTGGATCGGCTCTTGGGAATGTGGAAATCCAGCTGCCGGCATCTTCTCTTTAACTCATCTCTTCTCATCTCTTTCTTTTTCGGATCAGTGACTTACACCACCGGATCCTCACTTCCATACTTATCCTCGATTTCTCGCAAAGATTGATGGCTATGTCTGCCACGAGAGCATAAACTGCTAAGCCAGATCTTTGCGAGACAGCACTTTTGTGTGCTCTCAGTTTTGAGATACCTACTCACGGCGCAATCTATTTCTGTTCCTTTTCCTACTCTGCTGTAGGGTATCTTTTGCGTTTTCTTTTTCGCGCTGCATATTGCCAAGCCGTGCGCTGTTGCCAGGTTGAGAGGACATACGAAGGCAAGGGAATGGGAGTCAGAAGAAAAGAAAAATACTTTTAAAGCTATTTCATCCACTTTGAAAGTGGTCATTGAGATCACCCGCTAATGTGAGATAGTCCGCCTCGAGAGTCCGCCTGATCTGATGCCTTGGTCAATACTCAAATACAAATCGTCCTTTTCGTAATCGGGCCGTCGGCTTGAGTTACGTACACGGATATCACCGTCTACCATCCCTTCTTCGTGTCCATCCATGCAGCCATGATTTGACCACTGGACCTGTTGACAGCCTATTCAGAGTCCTTGAGAGTCCACCACTGCTACGGCAATCCGTTCCATTGTCGTGGAGTTTGACACATTCACAAACTTCTTCGGCCTTTGCTCCTTTCTACGTCTCCTCATGAAGGCACAGGACTTCGATATCGCTGCACTTCAGCGAACTTCTCGGGATTTCCCAGTAAGCGACCCAAAGTTCAGAGTCCCAATTCATACTGTTTTTTTTGTGCCGAGATAGTTCACATAGTTAAGACCGGTGCTAGTCGCTGGCTCATAGAAGACTTCGGTTTTGAGAGAGATACTGCCCACTGCATCCAAAAATGTTACAGCTAAGGCATTTCTTGATCATAGTCATAATGTGAACCTTACTCAATCCGAACGTAACACTTCTGTTTCATGCTCGTCCAACATTTCGGAGACCGCTTGGAAAGCTTATTGTTGTTGGCGTTCGTATAAAGCGCAGTTACATCAAACGACTATACTACGCCGTTTGATTGAAAAGTACACGAACGCTAGCGATCAAGTAATTCGTTAGTGTTTGGCAGATGTGAGGGTACGTATCGGAGTAGTTGACCAACATTTTTATTGAGAAACCACGGAATGCGGTCCCCCGGTCTACCTATACAGCTGATGATGGGTCTTATTTTCTGATCGCTAGCAACAACTAAGTTTTCACCTCCGTTGGACGACTTATGAGTCTCGATCAGGCTCTACATCAGAAATTGTCTCACCTAATTATTCAGCAGTGTACACCGGCCAAAAAGAAGGAAGAACGCAAAAACACTGAAACACACGGAAAATCTAGGAACATAGCATAGTTTCCATGCAATCACAAACATCAAAGAGAGTACACCGTTTTCTGATTCCGTTGGTTAGTTTTGAGCACACTTCGTAGTGGAGGAACTTGACCTCCTTCAACTAGAGCCCATCTTCAGTCAGCATTTTCTGCCATTTCTTCGACTTGTCCTCTAGTTCTTCTCCGCTCTTCGTGATCAGAACGATGTAATCAACGTCTAATGATAGTCTCTAGAGATCCACCCATGGGTTTTTTTGCGATCACGTTGATTGCAAGTAGAAAGAGGTAATTGCTCAGATTCAACCCTTGATGTACTTCAACAGTGACACATACTGCTTTGATTAGGCCGTGAAAAACTGCTGTTGGGTAATTTAGTCATATGGTTGACTTCAACTTGTTTTCTCCCACTAGTGTAGGCTACATCCTTAGCTTCCCTTTTCATGTAGAAGGTGCTTCAGACTGATTGGTTGTGGGCTATAGTTGAGCCAAAAAATCTATCCACTCGTTTCGAACGCTCACTCCTTCTCCTCTTCCAATCCTTTGAAGGACGCTTCGTTCACTGCCAATTGGATTGCGGCTATGGCAATAAGCACTGCGACTTCCGAAACTGGCTTTATGGCATCTTAAAATCTCGCTAGAACCCAACCTTTTTGTATGCCAGGCAGTTGGCTTGCGGTGCGTTCATGGATACTATTGCATAGCATCCCTGTGCCTGCCCTCGCAGTTACGATTTGGTCGATGATCCTGTTGACGGAACAGGATTCTTGAGAGACTTCGTCGCTGCTACAACCATTTCGTTTGGTATCTTTGTTATAAAAAACTTTGGCACAATCGAGAACCACTCTGACTGTCACTTGTTAGTGTGTTTCCTGGAGGTATGGCACTTCCATGACCATACTCCCCATCAGATCAGCAATATCTCGAGAATGGGCTTGAAGTAGATGCTCTGGCGTCTAGAGTTTCAAATTGAAATCATTTCTGTTTCCGAGTTGTTCACTTCGGTAACCTTTACTCGCTGACTATAAAATCCAAGCGAGCGCTGTGCGTTTCCCAGCATTGACATGGTTTCATGGTTATAGACAAGTTCGCTGTGAGTGTGCTCCTCAATCAGTCGACTTGTCAACCTGGTCCTAAGACTGGTGTGATTACACTTTGCAATTCTGCATGGCATGATCCCCCTGAGGTCTTGGCGTTAATCAATCCCCTCTGAAGGGTGCCCCCCCCCCCACATTTGTCATCCATTCCAATCTTAGCGCAAAATCCGAAGGCGGTCTCTGCAACAACTTGCGGTGGCCAGCCGATGTATAGGCCACATACGATGATGAGCTTCACTCAGGCTTGTTACAGAAGTCTTGCATATGCATATGCACTTTTTCGTAGCTCTTGCTGCTTCACTTTAATTTGTAAGTTTTGGGAGTGTATTGCTTTCACCAGCTTTTAAATTTACCATACATGCATGCAGTCAGTCAATTACAATATGGAACACATCAAACCACACAACACCAGCTAGAAATATTATAGAGATTGAGTCTCTTTGAACTTGGAAGGAAAATAGGATATCGCTTCAACAGAAGCGGCCAAAAGTCTTCGGTGGACCGCTCATCAATCGTAACTTTTTTTTAACAAAGGGATACAAGAAAAGTTCTGATACATCAAATCTCACTTTGACCAACTAGTTTGTAATCTTTGACCTTAAAACTGGCGGGTCGCGTGACTACGCACAGAAGTTTCACTACTGAGACAATTTTCCCTAATCACAAGGTCAGCGATAATTGCTTTTTTTGCATCTCATTTGTGCTCGTCGTTAGTACTTCTACACTCAAGGCGTGCTTAGAAACAGAAGTCATTCAGAGATTTTGGAACGCAGCAGTAAATCTGAAGGGATTGGGCATGAAAGTCATGGTCATTTTAAGGTTCCATGCAGATAACTCTTTCGATTATTCAACGCTGTCAGGTCAAGAACTCTGTCTGATTGCCAAAAAAATGAGGAGACCCCGATATAATTCACCAGCCCAGGACAAACGGACCACACCTCGGTCGGAAGCTGACCCTCGCCTCACTGCGGCTGACATTGCTGCCCAGTTCAGCGCTAGCGATGGCACCGTTTTTAGTCGACGGACTGTAGGGAGACGCCTAAGAATGCTGGTATTCATGAGAGACGCTCAGCCAAGAAGCCATCTAGAAAATAGTTGAGCTAGAGCGGAGTTTGCGCCCGCCGCCTCAACTGAACTTCGACTGACTGTAGTAAAATTCTTTTCGCAGACTAGACAAGTTCAATAAGCTTAGATGCGGTATACGGTACGAACGACGTCTATCTCGGGAAAAGTTCAATCCAAAGTACACCTTGCAAACAACCGAGCATAGAGGAGAAAGTGTGCCTTCTTTCCGATCGAAATGGGACCTACTTTGGAAATTGACGTCACGATGACTGGAGAGTACTACAAGAACATGGTGGTCCACATCTTCTTGTCGTGGGCACAGCATGACATGCCACCAGGTTAGATCCTGCAGCAGGATAACGGTCCTAAATACACTCAATGGTTGTGAAGGCGGTCATTAGCGAATAGACCTCTGGAGTGACCATGCCAGTCATCGGATCTGAACCCCATAGAGCACATATGGGAAGAGCTTCTGTTGCGATGCTGTCATTAGCAAACCGAGGCTTTCCTACCAATCAATGTTTTGGG